GGCCGAGTGAAGCACCTCCAGACCTCAAGCCTGTGGATACAGCAATGGGTCCACAAGAAGGAGCTGCGCGTGGCAGCCATCGGCACAGCCCTCAACCCGACGGACATGGGCACGAAGATCCTGTCAGCCAACAGACTGCGCATGTTATGCGCCGTGGCTGGCATGGTGGACGATGGTGGCAACAAGGTCGGGAAGGAGGAGCTGCAGGCCGAGCTCTACAAGACCAAGGGGGTCAATGCCAAGACCCTTCACCTGGTGCAGCTGCTGATGGCTAGCACCCTGCAAGGTTGCAGCCAAGAAGGCTATGAGGACGTTAGCGTCTACTTGCTCTTCTTCCTGGACCTGCTCGGCACCTTCTACGAGGAGTACCCCACGGGTTTTACCTTCCTCTTTGCGGCCCTCACGCTTCTGGCGGTGGCGTTTCTCGGCTACCTCAACGGCGTTCAGTGGAGGATGACCCTCCAAATCGGGCGTTGGCCCAATGCAGGGCTTGAGCCAGGTTGCGGTGAACCTGGGCCAGCGCAGACCAACGAGCCCAAAGACAGCAAGAACAGCGAGGACGCCGAGGACACTGAGGACACCGAGAGCAGCGAGAGCGACCAAGGACACAGAGACACCGAGCAGGACGAGACCAACCAAGAACGCAGGGGCACTGAACAAGGCGAGACCGGACGGGCACACCAGCGCGAAGTTCCACTGGACCCCGAGGTGGTGAACCGCATGAACACTTGGATGGAGGAGAATGTGCTGCCTCTTTTGGGAGTGGCACCGGAAGCTGAGGCACGGCCTTCGGGAGCCACGTCCTCCCACGAGCCTCCACCTGTACCACCTGGGTACCTTCGGACAACGCGGGGCGTGTTGGACCCCACTGGCCTCAACCTCGGCAGGATCGTAAGGTACGCGCCAAACTGGGGGTATGGATACCACGTGGCTACTTGCTCATCGTTTCGGAGGGCGGCCCGGAGCTTCAAAGACAGTACTGTACAGCAAGCCCTTGAGAGGGGACTTTTCCCGTGTGAGCAATGCTGCCGTGGAGACCACGACACCCTTTCTGTCCGGAACCGCGGCTACTTTGAACAGAAGCCCGGGCGTCGACACAGGTGAGCCAGCTCATGGATCACGATCCAAGAGCTGAGGGGGCATGTTAGTGTAAATTGGCCCCAGCACTCCTGTTGATTATTGTGCATTCGCATGTGCAGCCTGACACGAGAGCGGTAGGCACGTGCAGTGCATGGCCCCTGCAAGGATGACCCGCACAAATGTGCAAGCACTTGAAGCCCTTTGCGAGTCAAGAAAGGAGCGAATTTTCAAACAAGTAGAAAACTTTGAATTGGGACATTCGGAAACACAAAAACGAAAAAAATGAATGCACTGTAAGAAAAAATATCATGGCTACACAGCTGCGAAGCAAACTTTTTGTGTTATGTTCACATGCGAAAATATGGAGACACTTCTGAGCAACTTTATTCGATGCGTCTACTGGCCCAAGAAAGCCATTTTGGTGCACTGTGAAAGCAAAAAAAGAGTGCAAGACCCACTTGAAACATGGCAAGCCATGGTGCCAAATTGTAGGTGCTAATAAGTGAGCTTGCTGGAAAACAAAGGAAGGTGGTGCGCTAACTAACTCACTCTGGCTTCAACTGGCCTCGTCGGGTCCATTAGCCGCCTGGTTTGCAGTAGTTACGTGATCATATCGCTTGCGATTGCCACTTTATTTCTTTTGTGATGGAAGGAAAAATTACTGATTTGAAATCAAGTTGTTTTTCCGGAAGTGCATGCATGAAGTCGTTGTTGTTTCCGAAGTTCAGGCTCGACTGGAGCCGTGAACGAAAGATTTTTTTGGGGCTCTCTAGAGGCTTGTAAGATCTTGCTAACAGGTCTTTGGCCTCCGTATCCCGGTGCTTTAGGTTGCCACAGCTTCTGCTGTCATGGCCGCTGAGCCGGGAAGCTCCAGAGTCTCGGGGCATTGCCTCGAGGCCGACTCCGATACGGAGTCGCATCGGCGCGCTGACTTGACTGCCAGTCGTTGGGCTCTGGCAGATGTGGCTGGCGAAGCTGCGGAGAACGAGCAGGAGCCTGCGGCTGGATCGGGGCGGCTTACCCCAGAGGCGGCCCTGAGTCTCTCGTCGGTGGCGGCCTGTCCAACCAAAGCTTCTTCCTCGGAGTCGGTGCGGGCACTGGGGTAGCAGGTGGTTGCTCGGCGGGTGTCGGGGCACTAAGGTCTATAGTCTATAGGCCCTATCCCACCAGCCGGGTGCGGGGTGACTAAACCGGATCCTAAGGGAGCGGGTGCGTCAGGCGGGTCGCTCCCTGCTTCGTCGCGGCTTGCTTCTTGAAACCCCGCCGGCGCATCATCGGCGGCAATCGCCTTCCTTCCCTTTGCTGGTGGCACGAGCCTGGTGCCCACGACGCTGTAGCCCCAAGGGAAGCCGGCAACAGAATCAAACAAAGGCGCCTCAAGCTTCCAATCCTGACCTGTGCGCCGCACCGCGCGCGAGAGCCTGATGCCTCCCTTGGTGCCCAGCACGTACATATCCGAGGTGGTGGTCTTCGTGAGGAAAATGGCTTTCACCCACTTTGGGTTGCCCTTGCGGCGAGGAACGACATAGCAAAAGACCGGTCCCGTACGTCACCAGTCGGCCGGTGTAAGCAGCACTTGCTGTCCGCTCGTAAGCGGTGAGCCCGCCGGTCACGGCGAAGCGGTTCCTGATCCATGCCGCGTGCACGAAACTCCATGCAAACAACGGGTGGCTGGAGCCAATCTGGCACCCAGTCTTCGACCTTAGCAAGTCGAGGAAAGTGCACGCCAACCTCCGGACAAGATCAACTTGCTTCTCAACGGCTCCGTTCGACTGGTGGAACCCAATGGGTGGGTTCCTCTCGGTGGTCTTGGGTCCCAGCCGCAACCTTGCATTCACAACGGCCTTCTGCAACTTGATTGTCGCTGGCTCTTGGTCGCAACGAAGCTCAACAGCAGCATGCCCCAACGACTGAACAAAACGCATAAGCTCGACACCCAAGTGCCGCGTTGCACCCTTGGACGGGGTCGGCACTGCAAGCACTGACCCTGTCACAGAGTCGTGTGCTATCAAACAGCACAAGAGGTCTTTCGCATCCTCCTCGGTGGCGGGCCTCGCCTCGATGAGTTCATTCTTTTCTGGCTCATATCCAGTGTAAAAGAAATCAAACGACACCGTTGCAATGTCCCTCGGTCCGCTCGTGACTGTCTCTGCCCTGTCCGGTAGGGACCTCATGGCAATGCAATGCCCACACCACGGGGCAAACGGTGTGTGCGTCAGCTCGTGGATGAGCTGCTCCTGGGGCGATGGTGGCTTTGGCAGCGTTTGCATGCGAGGCTGCCTCGACTCAACACTTTTTGCGTCCCTGGCAACGTCGTGCTCCAGCGAAAGCTTTTGCTTGTCCAAGTACGCACGCACACGCTCAAACAACCGACTCTTGGAACCCGAAGTTCGGAGCCCCAGCTTCTCGCAGGCATTTAGCACTTGCAACGGGCTTGCATACGACAGCTCGACACCATCGACCGTAACAGACTCACGCTCACTCTCTGCAGCGCTGCGGCCTCCTCCATATCAGGCAAAACCCTGGGCGCATGCACGACATCGGGCTCGACGGCGCCCTCCTGGTCTGGGGCCTCAACCAAAATATCATCGGCAAACTCATCTGCATCATCGGCTGGCTCTGGCGACCCCTCTGCCGGGATCTCAACTTCACCCATCAACTCATCGGAAACCTCGATGCCTGCTGCATCCAAGGGCTCGTGCTGACCATGCAGCACAACTATCAGCTCGGCTTCCCCGCCACCGGGGATATCTTCCTCCACGTCTTCAAGCTCAAGCCACTTAGCGCAATGCTCGACCACAAGCCAGGGCACACGCTCATTCCGGCGCATCAAGGTAGACCTGAACGGCCACGTGTCAGGAGCCATGATAGACGGGTCAATCATAACTTTCGAAATGCCGCGCCACACCATGTGCCCTGAACTTGCAAGCTGCCAACCGAACTGAAAATCATCAAGGACACGGCTTGGGATAGCACGACCAATGGCTCTGACACTGACCATGCCTGCTGTTGCGCCACCTGGCTTTTGCACGACGCCTGCGGCTGAACTCTGGACGGCACCTGCGGCTGAACTCTGGACGGCACCTGTGGCTGAACTCTGGACGGCACCTGCGGCTGAACTCTGGACGGCACCTGTGGCTGAACTCTGGACGGCACCTGTGGCTGAACTCTGGGCGGCACCTGCGGCTGAACTCTGGACGGCACCTGGAAGTGCACTCTGGTCCTCACTCACGCGTCTTATCTCGGCACTCATGGTCAACGACATGCCGCGCAACCCTAGAGGAATCTCGGCCCCGCTGTCGTGGGCCAACCACATGCCTTGTGTGCCTTTGCAAGGCCACCAGCCACGGGCGATCAAGCGCCCCATGCTCACGAGCAGCTGGCTCACCTGCGATACCACACACCGCTCGCGAATGGTTATCTCATGTGGGGTCCCGGCGCCGATCACGAAATCTATCAAACGCTCCTCTTGCACATTGATGGGAGGACCATAGCTGAGGGGCACACAAGACACGTCCGCGCCACTGTCAACAATGACGCTCGCGGCACCGGCCGTCGTGACGGCCCTGACTTTCACAAAAGACGCTGCATCACTATCTGAACTCCCGGAAAAATCCTCATATACTCTGGTAGGGTCCACACACCATCGTCATCGGACGAGTCGAGCTGAAACCGCTCGGGAGCACTTGCAAAGGAAACTACGCAAAGGCGGCTGGGCTCGCTAGGCAGCTCAAGGTCGGACACGCGCGGCTCTGCAACCACTCGGCGCACGGCGGTGCTCGGCATTGAGGACGCAGCGCTTGCCGCACTAGACGGGACATTCGTGCTTGCTACGGTTGTGCTGGCCTGGCCTGGCTGAATAGTCGCATCCGCGGTGACGTTCTGGACCTGCCGGGGACGCCAACAATCACGTGCATAGTGGCCGGGCCGCCCGCAATTGTGACATGTGATCTGCTTTTGCGGCTGCTGTCCTGGCTGCTTGCCTTTGCTCCCGGGCTGCTGTGGTTGCTGGCGCTTGCCCTTCTTTCCTTTGGTGTCGCCTTTGCTGCCTTTGGGCTTGCCTTTCTTTCCTTTGCTGTCGCCTCTGCCTTTGCCTTTGTTGTCTCGGTCCTTGCCTTTGCGGGTGACTGCACCTACCTGGTCTACGTCCATTGGCTGTGGCCCCTGCTCTGCCTTGGAACCTGTGCTCGGCAACATGCCTAGGGCTTGCTGCACACGTGTTGGGTTCCAGGTTGTGCTCGAGAGCTCGTAGGAAAGGATATAGTCACGCACGGAGGAATAGCTAGAGCTCTCGGTCAGCGAGAGTTGCACATGCTGTCTCACCTGGGCCGGCAGCACCCGAAGAAGGACACCCCGCATAACATCCGGGGTAACATCATGCCCGCTGATCTTGGCATATTTTGCAGCAACTCTCTCCATGCTCTGAATTTGCTCTCTCATTGTTTTGTCTTTCGTGAAATGTGGGGTCTGCATAAGGGCCGATAGCACTGCCATGGAACGAGCACGGGTTTTCGGCGCATAGGCGTTGTTCAGACGCCTCCACGTCTCAAACCCGCATCTGTTCTCCACCTCTCGCAGGATTGCTTTTTCTGTGCTTCAAGATAGATGATAAAACAACAGAAAATTTCATAGAATGCGAGGCTTGCTCTGTGGTCATTGAGGAAAGCGTGGCAGGAGTCCCCAGGTTCTTCTCGATTGCATCCAGTTCGACTTCAAATGCTGGCTCCGCAAATATAAGCCAGCTTTTCAGCTGATGCGTAAAATCTTGCCATTGGTTCAAATCTGTTTCGTGGCTCTCTGACCCAAACTCAGCAGGATACTTCAATATCTTGCTGGCAGCTGTGAACCCTTGGCCGTCGGAGCCTGAGGACTTGGATGCATTCGCAACTGCGGCAGCAGCTGCTTCACTGGCTCTTCTCGTTGCACTCGCCAACTGCTCCATGATAGTGTTAAACATGCTTTGTGTCATGACAATGCTGGTCTCTGGGCTCGCGTGCGAAGGAGAAAACGGATTCCCGGCCGGCTGTGGCTGCGGCCCTGCTGGTTCAAGGTCTGGCAAATCATCGTCGTCATCAACAGGCACTCCCGCTGCAGCCATGTTGTCGCAAAACGGAAATCAAGAATGAGCTGTGCAATCCAATCACGCTTGCACACTCAAGCCAGGCTGCTCTGCAAATTTGGCACGTCGGGGCAAAGCCTCCGAGGCCGTAAAGCTATGGCTCGGCACAGCTAAGGAGGTAAATGCCTGAAAGCCCTCACCCTGAACAGCAGAAGAAG